CTCCGAAGAAGCATGCAGAAGAATTCATGAGGCACAATCCTAGAGTAGCTAAGAAAAATCCATTTTAAAAATCGAAAATGAATCGCTCAAAGATGCTAACCGCCACTCGTAACTCACACCAATCAATTGACAAGTAAGGCGCCATTCACTCTACCCACGACGTCTCGTTTCCTCTGAAAAGTGGTTCCTAATACCAACAACATCAGTCTACAGAAGATTGGCGGTTAGCAAGTCCTATGCCATGTCTCCAGCCACGATCAACTGGCTAAAAAGTCTCAAACACCTTGAGCAAACTCATATCTATTTCACTCGGACCCGACTAAAGTCAGCTCCGAATGAAAGAGACCAACTGTTATGGTGATTTACCATCTGAAGACGAAGATATCAAAAGATTGTCTGCATAGACTTAAAAAAGTTATGGTCCAAACCAGCTTAGAGGCCCAAAAGCCCAGCCAATGGCAAGTCTATCGGCCAGCCGAGTAGACGAGTCATTTTTTGACCAATGGTCATCATTACCGACTCGAAGTGTGGGATCAGTCAGTCCTCGTAATTAAGACGACTCCTCGAGCAGACGTGTCGACCATACACTCGACCCGAAGCTCACTCGGCTGTCGGGTCGGGAAATCATAAAGACAACCCACGAACCGACCCGCCTCTACTAAGGGGATAAGATCCAGCTAAGCTCGCTTCAGATGTTAATCGGCACTACAGCATTGGTCAGTCCCATCAAGATCTCTGCTCTGACAAATCCCGTGCATAAGCCGCTTATTCTACTCATAAGTTATTTCCTAGGGATCGCCATCCCCTAGGCTCGAATGACTTCCCCTCTAATTACCAACCGCCATCTAGAGGGGGAAGGACGACCAAGCAGTTGGCATATCCTCTGCCCTGCCTCATCTGTCAAATCCAGGATACTGAGAAGACATTTCTCTCCAGTACTCGAATGACTTCCCTTCCAATCGCCAGCCGACATCTGGAAGGAGAAGGATGACTCAGTAACCTGCCTGCTGACCCCTCAACCGCCTTATGTGCATAGGCAAAGCCAAAGGGTGAAACTCTCAGAGGCGATGGGCTATAAAAGGAGGGAAAGAAGGTAAAGGGGGGTTGGGGGCGGGGGGGGGGGGGTTCTGCTACTTCTTCAAAAAAAGCTCTGAATTTGCCTTTGTTAAAAAAAAAACTAATAACTCTCAAAGAGTACCCTCTAAGGACCTCAATGGCCCTGAACTCTTCCTCAAACCCCACTCAAGCTCACCAGCTGACTTGACCGTCGGAGGTACCACGAGGGAAATGAGCCCCACCCTCCCACGGGTTTCTTCTCGTTTGTGCAGAAGGATCAGGAATTCCAGTCTAATGATCGGGCATAAAGTCGAAGGAGGAGTCGGCCCCATCTCTCATCCTCTCCTTATTCGGCACCAGCGCGAAGACCGAAACCCCAACCCCCTCGACTGTGTGATATCAGACATCAACAGGGGTATTGTCACAAATATTGTGTGTATTTGGGGCTTATTCGCATAGAGCAGAATACAATAGGCCTAATCACATGAATTTTCTGCTTTTGGGGTCTGGACCCATTTTCCCCTAGATTCTATGCAACTTGGAATAATTTTACATTAAGTTTACGACATAAATTTTTGTCTGGATAAATACGTTTCTATAGTTTGCACATAAGATAAAGGCAATATATTTATGATTATTTTAGCACAATTTCCTTTAAAAGAAATAATACATAAATAACCCTCACTTTCTACTCCCCAAATCAGCAAACCATACTACCATAGTTCCCAAATCCTCCTCCAATGGCGGATCCCAATCCGACCCCGCCATCAATCCTCTCAACCCTAGGCGAGGAGATCATCCGCATCATCGTCCCAGTCTCCACCTGCATGCTCATCGTCGTCCTCCTCGTCACCGCCCTCTCCTCCTCCTCCTCTTCCTCGCAAACCCTAACCCTAACCTCCTCCATCGCCGGCATCGCCTACTCCGAGTCCCCCTCGGATTCTCTCTGGGACAAGCTCAAAGGCGCCGCCTTTTACTCCGCCGTCTTCGTCGCCGTCATCACCGCCCTCACCTTCGTCCTCTTCCTCCTCTTCTACTTCCGCTTCACCGGCTTCCTCAAATCCTACATGGCTTTCTCCTCCTTCGTCGTCCTCTCGTTCCTCGGCGCTGAGGTTTGCTTGCTTCTCGTCAGCCACTTTGGGTTTGCTATCGACGCTGTTAGCTTCTCCATTGTTATGTTCAATTTCTCGGTAGTTGGAGTAATGTCGGTGTTTTTGATCAAAATGCCGATTTTGGTGACGCAAGGGTACTTGGTGGCGATTGCGGTTCTGGTTGCTTATTGCTTTACGATGTTGCCCGAGTGGACTACTTGGGCTTTGCTCGTTTCGATGGCGTTGTATGACCTGGGGGCTGTTTTGTTGCCCGTTGGGCCGTTGAGGCTTTTGGTGGAGCTGGCGATGTCGAGAGATGAGGAGTTGCCGGCTTTGGTTTATGAGGCTAGGCCGGTTGAGGCTCCGGTCAACTCTAGGAGGAGGGTCTGGAGAGGGAGGAGGAACTCTGATAATTTGAATGGGAGTAGCAATATTGGGACTGATTCAGTTCCCAATTCAGATTCTTTGACGGAAAGGAGAGATATTGGAGAAAATCAAAGTTCTAATTTGAATGATTCAACAGTTGGGGAGTTGTTGCCTGAGACAAGGTTGGTTATTGATGATGTAGGGTCTGAGTTACGTGCTGCGTTATTAAGAAGAGAATTAGAAGGGGGAGAAGGGGATGGTTTTGAAGGGATCGGGTTAGGGTCGACAGGTGCGATCAAGTTGGGCTTGGGAGATTTCATATTTTACAGCGTCTTGGTGGGGAGAGCGGCACTATATGATTACATGACGGTGTATGCATGCTATCTTGCTATTATAGCGGGGCTCGGTATCACTCTTTTACTTTTAGCATTCTATCATAAAGCTCTGCCAGCTCTTCCTGTGTCTATTATGCTTGGTGTTTTGTTTTATTTGTTGACTAGGACCTTACTAGAAGTGTTTGTAGTCCCATTGTCAACTAACTTTTTGATGTTCTAGCACGACGTATGTTTAGGTTAGGAAAATTTAAGCCTATTGTTGTTTCATGTATTGTTAGTTGTATTTGATACCTTACATGATTGAAGTAAAGATTCTAAAATTGATAGATCTGCATTTCCTTGAAATCTCTACATGACTTTACTATTTAATTTCCTTTATGCTTAAGGAATTTCTTTCGGGAACTACTCATGTTCTCTTTCCTTTTAAGAACATATATTTTTAGTTGCTTGGAGTTTCTCTCTTTTGAAACTGCATGTGCAACTTAATAAAGATGCATGTAAATGTTACTTTGGCCCTTGGAAGTCATCAACTAGGTGTGCTTTTTATTGTATTCTTTTCATTTTTCTGCAATGTATTTCAGTTTTATGAAACGTGATTTTGTTGTTAATGGTCATGAGAAGTCTTTCTAAATTTCTTTACTTTACATAATTCAGTTGAGATAGGGAAGCTGTGGTTGGTTTTTGGTATGAATAGTCGACAAGATGGTAATTGTAGCTAAAAAGGGTGACGAGAAATAAATAAAAAAGGAAAATTAAAGCAACTTATCTCTCTTGTTTCAATTGAATATATAAATCAAACGGTGAGCTTAAATTGGCTCTGTTGTGCTTATGTTTACTGCGAATTTTGTAATTAATACAACTATACCAATGAAAGTTAACTAATTTGTTATGGCATTGTGTGGGCATGCACTAACAGACCTCAAGATCTATATGCAGTGATAAGGTTGATTATTGTGATTTGCCTGTTCATAATATTTTTCTGGCTTTGCTTGATATCATTGACGCTAATACATTGAAGTATTGATATATAAATTTCAAGATAAGAAAGCATGAATTGTTGGCATATATAGCAGAATTTGAGACTTGTCAGCTAATGTGATTGGTCGTGTTTGCCCTGGATATAGTATAATGTTCTTTGTACAACTTACAACTTCCCTGGTCTATACACTATCGTGCTATTTTCGTAAGGGATTTAGCAGTTGGATTTTCCTCGAAGGTGCTAAATGCGGGCCCACATCTCCCAACCACCCAGAAAAGGAGAAAAAACCCCACTAGACATAAGTCTAAAATGTCTAAAATGTCGTGTTTATCAGTTGGATTGGGTTAGTTCACCAAAAAACCCAAACCCATTGAGGCATCTCAAGTTGATAGGATTTTCCTCGAAGGTGCTAAATGCGGGCCCACATCTCCCAACCACCCAGAAAAGGAGGGAAAAAACCCACTAGACATAAGTCTAAAATGTCTTTGATAAATTTTAACCTTTTTAAGGGGTGTTTGACTCCTCCCCTAATCGTTAGTGAAACTAACATGGTTAAAAGTTTAATTTTTGTTTGGCTAAAACAGGTCCATCTCCAAACATGGTTTTGTTGGTTAGTTTTTGGGCCCGGATTGATCCACTCTATCTGATTAGAACCGCCGAGGTTAAGGCTTGAATCAGGTTAGTGGGAGTTGCCTAACACAGCCTTTAAGACTTTTTTTTTGGGATAGATCCCTGTACTTGTAGGAAGTTAGGTGACGAGGAATTGTATTCTTTTGAAACCTTAGTAACATTTTCTGTTTGTTTCGAATATCTCCGGCGGATTTCTGTGATATACATACTGGTCCGTGGAAAATCAATGGAAACTTGGCTGAGGAAGTCAGCATTAGACCTCCGTTCTATCTACAAGGGCGCTAGACCTGATAATCTCTGGACTTTGCTAAATGAGATTTTCCTGCACTGGTCATCTCAAGTTGAACCTGATGAATGAAGCGCAAGCTATCTAATTCGGTTGTTGCAGCTGAAGTGAGCAAGAGTAATTGTATGCAAAAAAAAATTAAACCCCTTATAATTCCTGTAGACAGTTCTCTTGATTGTATCCTCCAGTTTTTGCTCTTGTAGACTTACATAATTGGTTCCCTATGCAATGGTTTTCTTGCTTCGACTTCCTGGATATTGCCATTATTTATAATATGGCAAGCCCTATTCGTCGATATCGTGAAGTTAAATTTCTGTTTGACTATCAATGAGTTGTCATTCAGTTGTTTGAGCCTCGGAGCATTTCATCAGCTATCTTATACAACTAAGGGCATTGTCTTTAAGTTATGTAATTATTTGTATTTTTCGATGAGTTTATGTTCAAAATCTTTCCAAATATGATGGTTGACTATCTAAAGTGATATATATTATCACCGACATTCCCATCAACAATGTCCATCAACTCTAAACTTCTCAAGCATATTACGCCTGAATTGATTTTTAAGATGAAACTCCACTTAGCTGTAGTTTCACTAGGTCTTAGTTATGGTTGTGAAGTTTGTGATTGCATTTATAGGCTGTTTGCTGAAACTGCTACAATGACCATAAAACCGAAACTATGTTTTACATGTTCTTATGTCTAGGGTATACCATTAAGGTGAAGTTTAATTTGGCAAAAGAGGGGAGAAGAGAAGAATCCAACTAGTGCAACAGCATAATTTCAGCTACGTCCCCTGATTCCAAAACGGAGTTTTAACACCTTGATCCCCTGATTTCAGAACAAAGTTTTTCTGTTATCTGTAACCTTCAGGTGGGCGTCACAGCACGTCTAAAATGTATTGCGGAGAAATTTCGTGATATTTTAGCGTATCGCCAAAATGAATGCACGGGTTCTTGATGAATTTGATACTTCTATGAATTGCGTTACGTATTATAAACTCGTTAGTTTAGTACTTGCAGTAGCTTGCTATGGCAAAATTGTTTTGAGTGCTTTCTAGTTACAATCTTAGTTGAACACTTGCCAAAGAAGTTCTCAAATCATGCATTATATCTTTAGTTATGTATATGACAGCATCAAGCACATTCGGCTACATCCTTCTTAACGGGAGCAAAACTTGACATTATCAATTTCATCTGACTAATATAACACCCAGTATTTCTTTAAAGAATCCGATTTATTTTTTGGGTGCCCAAATGTTTTACTACAGAGGCCTTAAATTCTCTAAAGAATTCACCAGTAACAAATGAAGTATCCGGAGAGGGGGGAAAAACTATCTTATGATGCCAGCAGCCTCTTATGCTTGACATATAACAGGAAACTGAAGTATATAGCTGCACACGATACACTCGCTATAATCAGAACCAAGTTGAAATTCGAGGATCGATCAAAAACCGAGTCAACAAAGTTCATCCCAAAAACACCGGTAACTACTGCAAAGATTGTAACCACAAATGTCGCAGCGGTCAGCAGCAACTCGAATTGGATCAGCTGGTTCCTAACATTATCCTGTTATGTACAAAATGATACTGATAAGTTCAGTTTTTGAGAAATTTCTGTAGTAAAAGTCAGTTCTTTTTTCTGTTTTTTTTTTTTTTACCAGTTTGATATTGATGAAGTCTTCAGTGTCGTCGATATACTCTTTAAGCTACGCCACAAACAAATGGAATCACCACAGATGACTTTTCGAAGATTTTAAGGCGAAAATCTAAATCTCTTACCGATAACAGCTTGTTCAATGTACTGTCCACCACAACAAAATAGGCTTCAAGTAACATCTCAAGTTCTTCAATTTGTCTCCCAACACCATAAGAACCTCTCGAACTCTCGTACTTGATCGAGCTCATAACTGTACTTGCCCATGGCTTTTCTTGTCGAAGACCATCATTGGAAAATGTAGGGGACACCGGAGCAGACTTAGACACCATATTGATCGATGAAACGCTGCTAAATTCTCGGTCTGTCGATAAACAAGCTTCCATTCTCTCTTTCTTCTCCGTTAGGTACATCTCTGCCATGTCCTCGTCGTCGTCCATTAGCTGCTCTATTTCATCTCGGACCTGGGACGTTGATCAATTATAATCAGAGGTATGATAACAATTTTGTTTTTTTTTATATGAGACCACCCTAATTTCTTTCCTACTCTTATTTTCTACCCAAATCTTCATCTTCGTAATTTACCCTCAAATCAATCAAGTTGTTATAAAAAAAACACACACTATATTTGTAATGCACACAGGTAAAATCATTAAATTGTTTGATAGTAGCCCTATTTCGAACAAACATGAAGGCACGGAGGCGTAATATAAAATTGGCTAAAAGGCTATTTTGGTCCCTGTACTAGGGCTCCATACTCAAATTGGTCATCATACTTATGTTTTTCTCAACTTGGTCCTCATACGTAAGTTTCATTACTGATGATTGGGTCTGTCTGCAATTTTTTTTATCAGAAACAAATTGTTTATTTATCATTCTTATATTTGTTATCCATGAACTTAACTTTCTACGCTTAGCTTAGGCATCATCCACAATAATGTTCTGACAGGGAGTCGGAATCCTGTTTGAAGTTCTATATATGGAGCAAAAGTGAGAGGCTAAGAAATTTTGTTTATAGGAGTTTGCAACATAATCTCATATGTATGCAGTCCAATGCAGAAGTCTCTAATGGTAATGTTTGAAAATAGTGACTTTTACTGCCATACCAACGAGGGTAACATGGTCATAAATGAAAATTTGACACCTAAATTTTAATGGCTGTTAAAAAGGACTTGGCTTAAAACACAGATTTGGTACAGGGACCAGGTTGGGGGGGAAACCAAGTACAGAGACCAATTTGAGTATGGGGCCTTAGTAATTAGCCTGTGAAAATAGCATCGAGGTTTCGATACGAGAAAAACTATGTAATTTTTCCGAAAGATAATTAGTTGCTCACCTTTTGAACTTTGTGAGTTAAGGCAAGAAGGTGACTTTTCAGCCTTCGAACGTGCTCGAGATTGATGGTGCTAATGGAGGAGACTAGTTCATCGAGCAAGGGATATATCTCGATCTCAAGCTCTGTGACCTAGCAAAACCAAAGGTATTGATCACTCCATGCTCCATATTGTAGGCTTGTGTTAAGAACTGATGTACACATTCCTAGTTGAACCAATATATCAATGTTTTGTAGATATAGTGAAGTTAGATACTTTGAAGACTACTGAAACTATAGGAGATCTTTTATCCTTGGGGGCCTACTTGTCAAAAAAAAAAAAAACACAATTTTTTTTCCTTGAGGGTAAAAGAGTCAAGAAATTCACTTAGGTAGTCCATACGCGAAAATAAAACTAAAGCGTAGTAAGTTCAGAACAACAAAGATAGAGGGGGTCTATCCACAATTAGGGTCTATATATCCACAATTAACGCTTTTTAATTATTCATCTAGTTTTGAAAATTACATAGTTCCCCACATCTGATGAGTTACATCATATTTGTATTTGAACCTATATCTACATTCAGTAGTAACAGAGTTGGATATTCTGAAGATCACGTAAACTGATGTATTTTTCTTCGAAGAAAAGAATGTTTATGGATAAATTTCTAGTCCCATGAGTCGAGCTAGCTAATCTTTCTTACCAAAAATGCCATATAAGATTTACGCATACCTGAGCATCAAGTGACGTTGAAGATAGCTCCAAAGCAAGTTCAAGTGCTTTGAATTCAAAAGGCAAATCATCTAAAAAGCAACACAATTGCACACTTAAACACATGTCAAAAGAAGGAGAAATCCTCAATAAGATGAAAATGGTGTCCAATGTCCGTACCGTTCTGGTTTTGATTTCGTGTCATCGCGAGCCTCCGACACAGCTCTGATTCATACCTCAGCACACAGTTATCCAACGAATTCATGAGAAAAACTTCATCAGCCATAATGATGCACCTAATTTGCTCGAGGCTGACAACGATGGCTCTCTCTCTACCGAGGATAGTCGAAGGATAAACAAAGAGAGGATCCAGAAGACGAAGATCTCTGGCAGGTAAACCTGAGCGTCTCATTATAGTGGCCTTGTCTAGTTCTATAATTTGAGATTTCCCGGATTTTTCAATGTGTATCCATGAGCGACTAGTATGACCTCTTTTCTTCACTTGTGATGCGTTAAGACTATGGAAGGTTGCTGGTTTTGGATTTATAGGATGAATGCCTTTCATTTGTCCTCTTCTTTGTTTTTTTTTTTTATGTGTATCTGTTTCAGTGACAATGTAGTCAACAACTTAGAATGTTCATAAGGGAGGGTGGGTGATTTTTTCATTTTGGTTCTTTCTATTGACAGATGATGTACATGTAGTCTATGATGACAATAAACTCGTATCTTACGTTGCATATAAGTGTCTACATATTTATAAAGGGCTAAATTACTAGATTGGTATTAAAAGTAGTACCCAACGATGATTGGTATTAAAATTATCGTGGTACCCAATGATCAAATTGGTATCAAAATTATCTCCGGCGATAAGGCGTGTAAACTTACATGATGAGACAAATAGACACAAAAATGAATTTTCGGCCAACTTTTCCGGCGACCACTCATATAATATGTCGCATGATGCTTATGTGACATATTTATGTTAACTTGGTAGTTGTAGTTAGCCTAACTCAAACCATTAGAGGGGCATACTTTTAACTGAGTGTAAAAGCAAGAGAGAGAGAGAGAGTGTGTGTGTGGGGGGGGGGGGGGGAGATCTTTTTTTCAATTTGGGAGGTTCTTCTATCAAATTAGAGTTCTCCATTGCTTGAGAACATGGAATCGTTGAGCTCAAGTGATGAAGAACAACCCACTTGAAGGAAGTAGTAGTCCCAAATTTGAAAAAATCCATCTTTTTTTTTGCTTTAATTTGAAAATCACTCATTCTAATGGTTTGAATGAGGTTAACTACAGTTGCCATGTCATCATAAACATGTCACCTAATCACATGTGGCAAATTATATAAGTGATCACTAGAAAAATGGCCAGAAAATTTATTTTTGGGTCTATTAGTCTCATCGTGCAAGATTAAATACCTTGGTGTCGCCGGAAATAATTTTAATATCTTGTTGGTCATGGGGTACTTCTTTTAATGCCAATCTTGTACTTTAGTCATTTATAAAGCAGCATATTAGCTATGATTAAGATTAGACGAAGAAATAAGAATTTTTGGTCATATTTTCTTTCTACTGACAGATAAAATAAATACCATCGTGCTGTCAAAACTTGTATCTGACATTGCATATAAATTTCTTGAAAGAAAAACCCAAAATAGATGTAAATGAATCGGAATTTTCAGAAGAAAATTCTTAAGAAAGGATGAAGTGCGATGTTAGCTGTAATTAGAACAAGGCAAAGTTACAATATATATTGGTTCTTTCTACTGACAGATAATGAAGAATGTCGTTAATGCTGACAGAATACTTGTATGCGGAAATAAAGGCCTGAAATAGATGTAAATGAATCAGAACTATGGGAGAAGTTTCAATATATTAATAAAGTTAACAACAATTTTTAATTTGCCATTTTGGTTCTTTCTGTTCACAGATAATTCATATATTATATATGCTGAATTGAATAAAAAAATTGATACTGGCAGGATGAATGTCTTTCATTACTCCTTTATCTTTTCCTGCCTATATCTGTTTAATTGTTAATATGCTAAAATAAGAATTTTCATAAGAGAAGGCAAAATCTGTAAATATTGTAAGACATCGAGAGTAATAAGAAACTTTTGACCTTTTGGTTCATTCTATTAAAGTTTTTTTCTTTTTCTTTTTGGCATAAAATTTCCTGAAACTAAAAGAGCCCAAGAGATGTAAAAGAATCAGAATTATTAACAGTCCCTAAATTTCACATAACCAGGTTTTTCTCATATACAGATTTTTTTTCTTTCTTTTTCCCCCCTAATACACAACTGACCATACAAAGCCTCTTTTTTTTTTTGAATAATCATACAAAGTTTTCTAATACACTTGCTTCCACAATCATAAAAAAGAGAAAAGATAGAAAGAAGGGAAATGGTGAAAACTATCATTAAAACAGATGGAAAAGTTCTGAGTTGTCTTTCAAGCGCTGCTTCAAGCTCCAATAAAATACTTCATCATAAATAAATAAAAACTACTTCACAAGAGGGCAAAGAATCCATGACTCATCTCCCATAATATTTAACTCGTTTTTGAAGGGAGAAAGAAAACAAATTTGGGTTTTCAGTAATTGGTTTATATTATCTACAGAAACAAATGAAAAAGTGCTTAAAAAAGAGATAAACTGACCTCAACCGTTGCCACCTCAAGCTCAAATCCCAGGAGAAGAATCCCAAAGAGCTAATCAGAAGAAGCAGAATATGAGGACGAGAAGAGCTTGAGGGGACCTTCCTTTGATGGTGAAAGTGATATTAGAGCGAGGCTAGTAAAATGTCATTAAATTATCTTTTTAGAAAAATAATAATCAATCATTACAAGAAGGGACCATGTGATAAAATAAAATAAAAATATGATTCCAACTCCTGAAGAAATTATTGGGAGGCTGACGCTGCTGTCAGAGGCTTGCGTCTCCTTTTTGGATCTGGGTCTACGTCTGATGACTAGATTCATTGGTGGCATTTCGTACGGTATTATTCCAGGCTGTCCGATTGACTGCCCTCGGTTATACTTCAAGATTCACTTTAACATGCTAAATTGGAATTGGATTCTAAAAAGATCAGGGCATGTAAGAAGCAATAGCAACTCTTAGTAGCAATTCCTAGGGGTGCTTGGTCAATTGCAGTTGCATGCAACTGGACCATTTTTATCCGGTTGCATGCAATTAAATCATTTTTGTGCAGTTGCAAGCGTTTGTTTCATTGCAACTATATGTTGCGGTTACGACTACAATTGTAAATACCTTTCTACTTGCGGCTTCCGACTTGCATGACTTTAAGCGTTACGATCTTGTTTGCTTGCACGGAAGTAACTATGAAATAGCTGAAGTAAATGAAGTATGTGATACTTTTACTACTTCCGAGCAAAAAAACGTGTTTGCTTTTTTGAAAAACCTGATTTTAGTATTTTTCTTAAATGTTGTTGTGGCGCTCACGTGTCATCTCAACTTTCTAATTGTTTTTTCGCCCCTCAAGGCTCGAAAGTAGCACAGAAGTAGGTAAAATATGCACTAATTAGGACATAAATAATTCTTTCCCTTATTAATATTTTATTTATTAGTTACTTCCTAACAATTTTTCATTGCTATACTAACAGAACAAGGGAAAGAAGAACAAGAAGTACTAATTTCACTACTTCAAAAAATATGTGAAACAAATAAAAAAAAATTAGTTTCATTACTTCTTACTTCGTAAATTTAGAAGTTATTTCGTTGCTCTATTTTCTATTTTCGGTATTCTTGTCAAACCAACCAGGCCCTAAGTGGCACTTGCAAGCTTCTTTCAACTAACCCAAATTAACAAAAAATTAAAATCTCAAAATCATTGTCTAAAATTTCAAAAAATCTAAGAACTTTATAAAAGATTTTAAAATAATTTTATGTAAAATATTTTTATATTAAAAAATAAATATATTGTTTTCAATACTATTTTTAAAAATAAATACTTTTTTTTGCAAAAAAGGTAATCTTATAAAAAAATTTATTATTTATTAAAAATACAAATTTTTCAAAAAAAATATTTTTTTAAAATTACATTCTTTTTTTCATAGAAAATATTTTAGGAAAGTTCGAAAAGGTAAATTAACATTATTTTTTTAAAAATGAACATTGTAAATATATAAATTGGCTAAATACCCATATTGTTATTTTAATTCCACCCCATTTACCAAGAAGGTATTTTAATTAGGCAAACCTGCTTTAAGGCATTTTAATTGATTCAACTTACCAACAAAACCATTTTTCTCATCGGCGACCAGTTTTTCGGCGAGAGCTCGTCACGTGCGTGGCACATGATGACTTAAACTTTTTTTAGCTGCTGATGTGGCACGGATTTTCTGATGTGACAGTGTTTAAAGGCGGGAATTAACCCTCTAAAAATCCCAATTCATCCAAACTAGGACAGATTCGCCCCTTTTATTTTCAGAATTTGAACGCGAGAGAGAGGGAAAAATAGAGAGTGAGAAATCATGGGGGAGACAGTTGAAAGAGATAGATTGCATGGATTCCATGTGATGGTGTTCCTCAGTTGATGCAAAAGGTGATTTTCGGAGGACGAGAGCTTGAACTTACATGCGATCCCAATTTTCCACTTACCCTGCTTGCTTTAGAACGAGAGCTTGAACTTGATGACGACGACATAATATCTTCTCTTTCACGCTCAATCTCAGCTTGAATGCCCCAATTTGATAAACCCTAGTTTCCAATCTCACCCAATCTCAGCTTGAATCCCCTCTTTTATTCTCCCAACTATTTTATCCACGTCAGAAAATCTGTGCCACATCAGCAACCAAAAAACAGTTTAAGTCATCACGTGTCACACACGTGACGAGCTCACGCCAAAAAACTGATCACCGACGAGAAAAAAAGTCTTGTTGGTAAGCTAAATCAATTAAAATGCCTTAAAACAAGTTTGCCTAATTAAAATACATTATTAGTAAATGGGATGGAATTAAAATACCAATATGGGTATTTAGCCTATATAAATTTAACTAATAATTGTTTCAATTAGAAAAAACAAGTTGCACACGAAAAGTTACAAACTGTTCCAAACAATTGCAACTACAAATTGGAAAATTTTAAAAATAGAACCAAATAGCTGTAATTGCAGTTGCATGCAAAGAATATTTGCAACATCTTAGTTACATGTCGGTGACAGTTATATTGCAACTACAGTTGTAATTTACCAAACGCGCCGTGGCTGTTTAGTTCACTTCAATTGGTAAAAGCAAGTGGCACTTGCACGTAATTGTAGTTGCAATAAGTGCCACTGCATCCCATCGAAGCTACAATGCCTTGATTCAAACATGCGAAACTCAGTTTACTCTTCACATACTGACTCTTAAGTTCTACTACATACTTTATCAGTAACTAGCTGAACTGAGCACCAGTGGAGCCTTGGTCAGTACTCAGTCTCCATCCACCGATGGATTTTGCATATGAGCGCAGGTCAGAGCCTCAGATCTTAAGGAGGAGCTGAACCGATCCCAACCCTAGAAGCATCTCATCTCCTGCGTCTACCTCTACATAATCCTCACCGTCAGCTTAAACCGTGCAGGTCTGTGGAAGAGAGATCTAGTTAATTTTTAAGCAACCATTAGGCAAACAAAATCTCAGATTATTCCAATTATTGCGTCTTCAGAACACATCCAACACATCCAACGATCTTGACAAATTCCTCCCCCTTTCCAGGCCAGCATTGCGACGATGGAGCAAAGCACTGTCCGTCTCCGTCTCTCCTACACAGTAGATGCTCTTTCAGCTGAATCTCGAGATGCAAATTGTTGCCACATGTCCAAATTGTCTACAGATTTTGCTTCCCACGTGAGAGCAGCAGTGATATTATCAGAAGATTGAGTTTGATAAGGAATAAATCTCTCTAGTGTTTACTTTGCAGCTTCGCATTTGCTTGCATAAAAACACACGACCTGTTAGAAGTTTCTCGTCAGAGAACATCACTTGATAATCTAAATAAAGCAAGAACGAACCAAAGCAAAACTTAAGTGTACCTCTCTAATAAAGCCTTGTATTGCTTTTGACTACCAAAATCCAGGTACAACTATTGATGCACCACCGTTCTAGTTAACCGGTGAGCATGTCTGTCCCTGCACGACTTCAGGGCCAATATCGTGCACTAACATAATCACTGTCTCCTGCACATGCCAAAGCTTTCGGAAATACAAGATGCATTTATTCACTGATTGATACTATCGGCGCAAGACACTGAAGCCAAAAACGTTTACCAAAGAAGTTGGTGATTGGGCACTACCATTGCTCACAGCTTCAAGCATATTATCACAACAGATTGAGAATCATCCCCAAGTCACAGGTCAAATCCTCCAATAAGTAACAGTCAAAATTGAATGAGCTTCCAAATACAGCTCCATGAATAACTTGCAGAATCAGACGGAACATTACTGATCAATTAGCTGCAAAACACTTCAGCTCAATCTGATAGAGATTCCATGAGGCATGTGAGCAATAGGCAATTGCTTAGTTTGAATGAGACCCACCCAGCAGCAGCTCTATACTCGCAGGGAACAAGTCCGTCAGTTTTTCTCTTGTTTCAGTGGATGAGGTTGTGATTGTACATAGGCTTACCACTCCTACCTGCAGTGGCGGACCAAGGAATCTTGGGAAGGGGGGCCAAAAAAATTTAATATAAACACAACTATACAAATACTGCAACCCTAGGACAAAATTATCACCAAATAAAAGCTACAAGGGGTAATAATATTTCAGGAAAAAAGAAAAAGAAAAGATATAAGAAAGACTGTTCTTTATAAAGAAAAATAATGTTAGTAATTTCTTCCGCTTCCTCATTTTCTTAATTTTCGCCTTCAACTCAAATTATAAAAGAAACATGAGAACTAATGCTGTATAATATTATTATAACACAATTGATACCATCCAAAAATGTCTGTCACATATATATACATGTATAAAAGTTCATCTAATCAAGAACAATGCTATTATAAAAACGAGGGATCCAGATCTTCATATAAATTAAAAGTTCATCTAAGTAATCAAGAAAAAATGCACTACTAATTAACACCCAATAAATAAGCCTAAGGTTCAACTAAATTAAAAAAATATTTTCACAACCGCCAGGCCCACAATCGATAAGATGAATTTTGTGCTGGTTTTCAGTGTGCTCATTTAGCTGCTGATCTAAGATACTAGTGCCCTCTCTTTATTTGTTTATGGGCCAAGGTGGGCACAAGGCCCCCTTGGCCCCCTGCTGGGTCCGCCCCCGTCTGCCTGCACAATTATTTTCATACCAGAGATATTGGCAATGTAATATTACTGCCTCTTTTCGCAGCTAATTCCTTCATTCAGATGATACAGATTGGAAGCAGAATGCCCATTAACCAGTGGCCAAAAGGTCAGGAATAGAAATGTGAAAGGTGGATATAGCTGAAAGGGAAGTACTGACAGAATCGTAATTTGGTGATTCCCCTTCTTGTGTGAAGCTTACCCTCCATATGTGTTTGATATTGTGGAATTTCTATGAAAGAATGGAACAGCTTAAAGACATACTGATAGGCTCGCGTCATTCAAAAAGAAACATCATTCGCTTTCTGCAAATGTTCTAATTTTAAATGCCAATGCCAGCAATCAATATTCATGTAAGAACTTTAAAGACTAGAAGATACATTAGACTCAAAGAATGCAAAACTCAGAAGTAGCTCATGGACTAGCAGCATATGACAATAATGACAAAAACAAGCTCGGTACCCAAATCTTATCATGAAAACAAAATCACAATTAATGACTCGCATGCCAAGAAGACCAAATTTGAGTACATTTTTACACAAATAGCAAACGACAACTAACATGTTTTGTGTGTCTGGCATCATGATTCAGTAATCTTCTGGGTATATGAACAGAGAAGTGATGAATTTTCACAGAGATGATGCTATTACGGGGGGAAAAATTCTACTGCTTATCACATAAAAGGCATCCATTAAAGCTTGCAGAAGATGCAATAATATCATTAACCTAGAAGCACATTTTAATAGTTGACAACAAATATAAACTGAGCATGACATTGAGAACCTACGTTGCATGGGTACAGGTATGGGTGCGGGTAAGGGCATGACACTTTGTAAAAAGCAGGGTACAACGACGGGTGCGGGTGCGGGTGCGGGTGCGGGTGCGGGTGCGGGTACGGGACATGACAATTTGTAAAAAGTAGGGTACAAGGACACGACTGAAACGCTGGACTAAAATCATAGTTCTGAGCTAGATACACAAATGAGCCTTTGAAATCGTCATTTTTAACTGAACGTGGGCTGAACAAATATAAACTGCTCATGACATTGAGAACCTAATTTGCATGGGTACAGGTACGGGTGCGGGTACGGGACATGACAATTTGTAAAAGCAGGGTACAAGGACGGGTACGGGTGCGGGTAAGGTACATGACAATTTGTGAAAAGTAGGGTACAAGGAGACGGCTGAAACGCTGGACTGAAAGCATAGTTCTGAGCTAGATACGCAAATGAGCCTTTGAAATCGTCATTTTTAACTGAATGTGGGCTGAAAAGAACCCGATCCTTATCAAACAAGTTTCAAAAGTGGACGTCAAGTGTAAGATGTATGTCCAGGAAGTGTATGACAAGTGTTTTGAATTAAGACATCTATTGTATAACCACGTACGCATCTGAATAAATGTATGCACATAGTAGAGGAATGTCCAAGAAGTGTCAGGTATGGGTAAGGCACGGGTCGGGTATGCGTACGGGTACAGCTTCATGATAGAAATATCCATACAAGATAGTTGAGAACGTAACATTGAAGTAGTCCTTACTATGATTAATTGCTTGTCTTAGGTCACAAAACAGTTTTAAAGATGACCGACTAAAGCACGTATAATCTACAAAGATCTTTTTTCAACTCTTCGGCTTAAAGGGTTTAATTTAGAATTTTGAGATTTACGTAATTAAACTGTACTCCAACCTTATCTTTCAAAGTTATAATGAGTTAAAGAGGTGAATCTAAATATAATCCTTCGAAAAAGAAGGAGAAAGAACTCACAGCAAATACATCTATACAATACTGGAAAAGTTTACCATTACAGTAATGAAAAATTGTAAAGAAAGAAACTAAGGTCATCCAGTAAAAATTTACAGTAACAGAATAAAAAGAAGAATCAAAGTGTTAAACACGAGGACTTTGAAGCTGGATCAGAATATTGAACTATAACTTTGAAATCATGTGCAGTCAGATTCCAGATAAAATACTCCGATAAATACTTTTGAACAAGTTGCATGCTTTTATCCTCAAGTTCAAGGGCCCTTGTAAGTGGAAGCCACTACAAACTTGGGCCTGTGATAAATAGACGATATTCTAATTGCATATTAGAAGAGAAGAGCTTTGAAACAGAACTCACTTCAATTTCACTCAACTGTATCACGAAGAGACCACATTGTAGTAAACATGCTCACCCAATTCAACTCCAGATTCCCATAATCTTGTTGCTAGAGCTTTAAACATATCTTACTGCTGCCAACCGACATGAGCCAATTGATGAAGGTAGACTGAAGGTTTACAAGGAAATAGAATAAAGCAAATCAACATAATGATGGAGATTATCATTATTCAAAAGAGTGCAAGAAGTTTACCTCTGGTGTTCGCGTCGAACTCCCAATGTTCCAAAGGCAAAGATATAAGTAGGCTTTTTGACGGTTTGCTGAGCAATGTGCATTTCATGATAATCCCTATGGTGAATAGCAGAATAGAAAGCTCTCGTGAAGGTCTTGACGCGTAAAAGGAAGATAGAGACAGTTGGCAACTAGGGCTCCTTTAATGTTCGAATCAAGCTATTGACAACCATACCCCCCCCCCCTGCGTGGTTGGGGGAAGGGGGCAACAAACCCATCCGCCCATAAGAAAACACAGTCAAATAACAAATTGGGCACCTTTATGACCACGTACACCAGTAGGCATTCATCTCTATTAAAAACCCCTCAAAACCCTGCTGCATCCCAGTTCAACCTGGAATTCATAAATATATACTGCCAGTGCACAATTAGGGATCTTCATCACCTGGCCCCACTCTTCACAGTTTCTTTGTTTAAGGAGAATATCACATCTCTAAGCTATCACAGCGACAAATATTGCAGAATCCAATTCGTACCCTTTCAAAAGCAGGAACAAGATTAACTGGTAAAGAACCAATTTGATGACTGAAACGATAGTGCTTCCAAAATTATAGCATTCACATTTCAGCAATACTAATGAAAGAATGTGATATGAAGCTCATCAACCAACATGAGCAAGAAAAGGGCAAAAAAAACTGTTCTGGACTTAACATGTCCCTGGTACCATATGAAGAGAAAATATCATAAACATGTTTTCTAATTCATCTGCAAATTATAGGGTATTAAACACATATTTTGACAACAGCAAACTTCTCTTCCATTAGGCATATGGAAGAGAAAATATATTAACATGCATAGCTGAGCTATAACCTTTTCAGCTGAGCACCTTCTCTTTAGTAACAACAGAGTAATTGTTAAAATAAGCACCAAAGAAAGATCCGTGCAAAACATTAGACATACTGCATTTCTTTAAGTTCAGAATAGAATTTAATCTAAGCGATTTACTATTTGTTGGAATTGATTAATAAAATACCAAAGAAGACATTGACAACAAATTGACAGCCCTGTAGAATTCTGTTCCTCTACCATGTTTTGAAGCTATACATTCAAGGCAGACCTGAAAACCAACCTAAATAGGCGCATGGGATAAGAGAGGAAAGGAGAGAAGGAAACTACCAAGAGTCAAAAGCACGGCTAAAATAAAATGGAGAATACCGTACTAAAAATATAATACATTTAATTATTTTTCCCAAGAATTCATTAATTTGCATGTTTGTTTCGGACAAATCAAAGCATGTTTGCCACACAATGTATAATCACACCAAATGATTACGTGATAGAAATGGGGTTGCCGTGGAACACAATACTAAGCCAACAAGAAGTTTCTGAAGAATCAATTAAACTAGATTTACATTACATTATGATAAAAACTTATAAAATTAATAACTTCATCTAAGCAAGGATTATTGGCTAGCTATGGTAATGGAACAGCACACTAAGAGTTCTGACTTAAAATTTAAATTAGAATCTAATGTTGAATTTGCAGACATGGTTCACAAGAAAAAATGTAGTATAAAATAGATTAACTATATAAGGGATCCAGAAGGGAACAGAACTTAAATCATATAGGAATCTGTAAATTTCAGAAGCTGAAGATACAAAAGGAATTATTAAAAAAGGAACTTATGCAAAGAAAAAATAAAGTGAAAGACAATAATAGAAAGAAAGAAAATAAACATTCAGAACTTCGATTAGAAGTGAGCCAATTTGGTTAATTAGAGTTTAAATTTCTGGCCTAGCCAATACCACTGTTAATTGTCAATTTGTTGGTGTCAGATTTAGAAACTACAATTCCTTTCACTTCTCTATTAATAAATGATAATGAAAGAAGAAAAATAAATACCATGAAACATAATATTTCAACGTAACAACAAAAACTAAATTTGCAATGTGATATCCTATTCCAACAAATACACCCTAAATTAACTTAATGGGAAAAAGGAATGGGAGGAGAACAGGAGGAGGAAGATTAAAAGGGCAAGAGGATAAGAAGTATGCGGTCATAATTAAAGTTTTCTGTCAGTGACTTGGTTCCCATGTAATGAAAAACAACAACCAGTGTTATAAAGAAGTTATAAGTCCCTCTAGCAAATAAGGATTCTAAATGTCTCCAACAGATGCTCTAAGGATAGCAATTACGATAGAACATATTTCATATCATCCCACCACTCACGACATCCCTTGCGTCTCCCTGCGACCGGCTCCTAGTTGGAGGAGTAGAAGTGCTAGTCCCCTTTGGTCAAGTGCTTGTGACTGCTGTTACCTACAGTAGGACTGGACCCTTGACCAAAAGAAGCCATCATATCTGGGAAAGGTAGCAGACGAGAGAGGCAGTGTCCGATCTATACGGATCACATAAAAGTGACACAAGTGCTACGAATAGACGATGCAGATCAGAATGGCAAAAAGTGACCCTAGCATTGCGTGCAGGATTCAATTGATTCGCTGCCTTGCCCATCCTTGAAAGTCCCATAAATGAAGACTCGGGCCTGTTTCAATGAAATCCCCTCTGTGCAAAACAGACAGCCAATGCCAGATCATTCCATTCAATTGAATGGAAATATTCTGAAGGGTCCCTCTTAAGTGACGTCCAGATGAATGGCGTCGAGTGAAAGCTGGAGTGGCACAAGAGAGATATCTTTAATCATGAAAAGGAAAAGTTGGTACTTCTACCAATAACAAATGGAGAAGCCAAAAGATAGAAACTAAGTTTTAAATTAAGGGTTTAAGATTCAAAGCATATGAAAGGTAACTTCATGGAGCTTTGTGCTTGTTGTCCTGAGAAACAACTAAACCAAAAACTGAGTTAATGGTTTAACAGCTTTTTCCAATGCTAATACAAAGAATCCGTGTAGCCATGTCGAGGAAGTACATTTAGGCTAAATGTGACGATTAGATGGTTAAGTGGATGAAAATGAGAGTTGAAGCTAAAAATAAGTCCACTGAAATGAATATATGGAGAGTTGGTGAGGGCCGACATGAAAGATTATTTCCATTTGAGTATGTCAAAATGGGCACTGGGGGAGTCCAAAGGCAATATTGTCTGAATTCTACAGAAATGCACAAATTACAGAATAAGGCAGAAAAAATACATGCATAAATTTAGAAAAGCAGCAGGGTGGAAAGGAAAGAACAGGAATAAAGAGGCAAGGATGAATAAACCCACGAAAGGCATTTAAACACTTTCACTCACACAAAAAAAATTTCCACCTTAAAAGGTGGGTTTCTTTAGAAACATCAGATTTAATTAAAACAGCCTTAAGAAGCCTAAGGTTAATCTTGTTGCAAAGTACAAAACAATCCTAAATTTTACAACCTTAAGTTTAAAGAAAATACAACAACAATGTGCATCTTTTCTTCATCTCAGCTCTTTCCATCTACTAAGTAAGCATAACAGGAACAATTTGGGATCTGATGTCCTAAAGATCCCTCACTCTCTCTCTCAACAGTCAACATGCACATGAATACAAAACTGTTATTTAAGATCTCTACTCATTGTTAAGAATGTACTCATTACTAACGGAACAGAACATGATATTAAGAAACAAAATAATTTTATAAAAAGAGTATCGCAGTGAACGAAGCCTCCGCTTGCAGACCACTTTTTAGTCTCTAGTATGCAGCCTTACCTCGCATTTTTACAAGAGGTTGTCTCCACAACTCGAACTCGTGACCTCCAAGTCAGACAGTGAAAACAAAATATTTTTTTTAAGAACGAATAATTTTATAAGAAACAAATAATCTTATGTGTCCTCTAATTGATAATAATGAAATGGTGTAGGAGGTTCTAAGTTTGATGGAGAACAACTTAACTCGGTAAAGAGTGTCAGACTCGGTCATTCACAGGTACGTACAACAATAAGACACAAAAAACTCAGCATGGCTAAAGAGGCATCCTCTGAAGGTTCACATCTCTAAGACAGAAAGTACTGGCTCATGATACATATCACAGTAACCTGTGACTCAATAAGCACATAAAATTTGGCATCTGCCTGCTGCTTAAGGATCTTAATAAGGAAAGTAGGCAGAAGGTGGATAATGAGGAAGGAAATTTACAAATTCATAGTGTTAGCTTAGTTGTATATAAAACCAAGTATTGATCTTACTACATCATGAAGGATAGTCCAATTTTCACACCCAGTAATAGACCAGATATAATGAGTTACAAATAAATTTACATATTGTGTTGTCGTATTTTTTTTCCCCACTCCATTCTTCAAAACTAAGGAGTCTTTGCAGTGCAGAAGGCCAATAAGTGAGGAACGAATTTCACAAGTCAATAATATGTGTTACCTAAGTTGTATATTAAACCTACTATTGAACTTACTACATCATGAAGAATAGTCCAATTTTCACAAGCAGCAATCGACCAGATACAATGAGTTACAAATAATGTACGTACTAAGTTTTCATATTTTCCTTTTTCTGGGCCATTCTTCAAATTAGCATGGCACTGTATAGTGCAACGAAAATAGGGAACCTTTGCAGTGCAAGCACCTCTAGTGAAAGGCATATTTTATTCCTTGTCTTGTCATACCTATGGGCCTATGGCAGGAACTATGTAATGAAATATCCCTATCACATGCCCATGTGCTCTTCAACTAGGTTAATATACAGAATATTGTTGCACTAAAATTATTTTATACACAGATTTTGTAATATACAGTGTTGAATACTGAGTGCAAAGCAGGTTGAATACATATATCACTGAGACGAAATCCTTAATACTTGGTAGCTTGTCTAAAAAATAAGGCAACCCACAGGTAATACCCATGACTAACAATTTAAAGAGTTTCACATAAACATATGCCCGTATGGACACATGAATAACCAAAATTTTATCCAAATTACGAGCCTAAAAATAATTTCACTTGAAGAATATTGAAAATAAAAGTTCATATACAAAAATACGCATCAGAATGACCACAACAAAGCATTTCTATGTCAGAACCCTCTTTGGATTTGATAAATAAATTCTTCTGAACTGTGTTCATCTATGTCACATTGGTCTACCTATTGTTGATTGGAGACCTAAAAGAGATATTTAAAAAAAGAAGAAATACATCGACTTTGGACCTGTACACTTCTATAATGCATACTGTCCAATAAATTGTTTATCAACGATTAGGAATATGAACATTCTAATTATGATTGTCACAGCTTGACTTCGAATTACAATCAAATTGCCTTGGACTGGTTACTGATATCAACAATTGCAGACTACACATTCAGATAGTTACAAATACAACTCAAATAAAACTAGACAAAGATAAACCCCTCAACTCAAGAACAATTGCTGATTACTGAGATTTTTTTCATAAATAAAAGATTTAATCCTCCTTTTATTTAGGTTGGTCAGAATTTACAAACAATAACTAAGAATCTACAGAATAATTGATGGATATTGGTGATGAGAAAAATAAATCCATTAGGATTTCATTTGAACTCCTAAACGCTACAAAGTTACAAGCATAACCACAATATTCAATGTAATGTATTATGATGTCAGAGGCTATGATGTCTTAGATAAATAAACAAAATAGTGATGCTACGGGGACCCAAAATATGGGACCAAGGGAGGGGACACCTCACCTGTCCCCTCCCTTGGTCCCATATTTTGGGTCCTTAAATCATTTTCCTAAACAAAATAACAGAGCATTGAGTTGTTATTAACGAACTTATGATATCTAAGTATCTAACTAAATAATACTTTATTAGAAATAGAACAGCAAATTGTCCTCATTGCTTATCATTATGTGCGAGTAAATTGGAAAAACAAGGATATATGATTTGCTCAAAGTATTGTCATGTCTTGCGATCTAGAACAAATATACAAACACTTACAAAATCTTTATCATCCCACTACAAAATTGCAAGAAAGTTATGAAACATCTAGAAAAGAAAAACTTTCTAATCTGCAACTAGAACTAGGCCAAACTTGGAGAAGACCACACATATGAGAAAATGTAAAAGCATATGCTCATAAGAAAACTGAAATCTTTTCACCCAAAAAAAGTTGTTCATGTAATTCCAACCAGCAAATTTGATTCCAAGGATACAATATTGTACAAAGCATTGTGCAAGGCATTGCCCATTCTCTCAAAAGTTTGACAGGGCATAGAAAATCTCACCTAACAGACTACAATCAAATGTTAATTAATGAAAGATCCAGGACTGGGTTATGGGATCATATATGTCAACCATGCAATAGAAGAATGAGAGAAAAGATAATTTGTGATTAAAGAAAAAAAAAGGTAGACAAAAAATGACTCTAGAAAGCTACTATTTGATGGGAACATCCCGCATACCTCAAAGTACCCAACCGAAGAACCCATGTGGAACCTCGCGTAGCAGATCTACTATCACAAGTTCCTAGACTAATGTAATCTACAGCTGTGTAAGTTCGTGTGGGTTCTCCATAGCTTCTTTGAGTATCATCTCTGCCCTCCGCTTCTTGTCGTCCTTCTCGTCATCCCTCAAAAACCAGGATTCATTCTTGACACCAGAAGTCTTTGAAGATAGCGGCAAAGCTACAGACTTCTTTTCAATTCCAAATTTAAAATGCACTGTAGGCCTGCTCTTTGGAAGTACCCTTTTTTCCTTGGCCTCATCCTCAAAAGATCCAGTCTTTGCTGCCTCAATAACCGACTCAAAGGTCTCAAGCACTGATATCCTCTTCTGATCACCAACTTCATCGGGGATAACAACCTCGGGTATATCTTTCTCACCAGCTGCCCTGCCAATGGCGGCGCGAGAAAAGGATTGTGAACGACCACCTGTTTCCCCTTATCAAGGTTGCTGCTTTCAACTGTCTGAACGAAGCCAGATGTGTCATTGCCAGAAAGTCTCTTCTGCAAGCTTAACAAAGACCTTTCCGCCTTCCTCCGTTGCCTAGCTTGCTCAATCTTATCTGCCCTACCGTCTGCGGCTCTCTCATGCCAAACTGGAGTGTGAACATAAGTATGTGGATCAGGGAATGCCGGAAGCCACTCAGGTATGTGTTTCTTGGGCGGCTCCTCCCCAATTTGCACAAAGCTGGGCGGTTGACCAAAGGATCGACGAACAACCGGAAAACTCGGAATCGATCGGGCAAACGGGACCTCCTCCTGCAAGCTAACAAATTGGGTGATCTCCCTAACAACACCAGAGCCCACAAGGCAATGGTGAGCATCCGACGCAGAGGCAAAACCATGCGATGAACCCAAGTCCTCCAACCCTTGAACAATATCAAACTCGTTGCAAGAAGTTCTACCCGACAAATTCGCGTAGAAATGAGAAGTCTTGCCCAGCTCACAAATAAAGCGAATCGCAATATCAGCAAGAGTATCAAGAGCAGACCTATGGGCGCTGTGGAACCCGGCGTCCTCACAGATCTGAGCCACTGCGATCCTGGCGATCTGGCGGCCGAAATCGTCGAATCCCGAGGGGATAACCTTCTTCTTGCTGTTAGAGTTCTCCCTTGCACTCTCCTTGCCGCCGTCGCTCATGATCAGCTGATCATATCATCCTATTTGGGACTTAGGGTTTCGATTGGCAAATTCGACATTGTTAAAGTTGCGGCCTTTCCAAATGCCCCCAAAGAAAACCCTAGAATAGCAACTGTGGATAACAGTGGGAAACTTCCCAAGATTGAGGACTTACTGATTCGTTACCGAGGATCCTGTAGTATCCGCCATGGATCTGAAGAGATCCAAACGAGAACTAGAGACGAATTCGAAGAGAATAGTGCAATTCTAGGGTTTTGAATGAGGATAATTAGGGTTTTTGGAGGGGAATTTGAAAACGGGAGGAAACAAAAACGAAACCCTCGTAAAACCCTAGAGAGTGAGATAGGGAAAGAGTGAAGAAAGACGGGGAGATTGATGGCGTATATATAGATGAAATGGGTTCGGGCAAAGATCGGGGCTCCTCTTTTTTTCTGTTTCCCCCTTATTTTCCCCTGCAAATTGTCAATTTTCAAATAAGCCCCTGAGACATTATTTATACTAGTACTCTTCTAAGTGCCATCCTAATCCTAATGCTATCTATATTTATTAATAAAACACTAACAGTTGTGAATTTGTAACATTGCATATAATTAGAGATGCAACTTTTCTTCGTGTCACTATTAATTATTATATTCATTTCCCCTTATGTATTCTTTCAACTTCATTGATATTAATCATTCATATGATATTTTTGTTATAAACATATCAAGATCGTTATACTGAGTTACCTGCACTGCACCGGTGAAAGCTAGTTTAACAAAATCAGAAAATGCTTCTCTGCGAATTTGGAAATTAAAACCAGTTATGTATGCATTTAATTTTGCTTGTAGACCTAAAATTTACAAATGCTAGGGGTTATAGTGAAAATTTTCTTAAACACATGGTCTGAGGATGCGGTGCGCCCTCGTGCGTTTATTATCACGCGTGGCTTACAATCATTGGTGGCTATGTTTGGAAGAGGGAACAAGGTGAAGGCAATTAAAGTGATCCAGCGGAGCATGGTAAGAAGGCTCCCGGAGTTCCGTTTTCGGCGGCACTGAAGGCAACGAGGCGTTTCGCGAGACGCGTGCCACGTCGACCCGAGATACTTTACCCGATGATTCCCATAGGTTCATGCCACGTGTCATCCGCTTGTTGTTTGTGAGGGTCATCCTTCAAACTTTGGGTCGGATCTCGTCACGGATCCATCCTAGGGTTTATGGATCTTGACCTATTAACCCGATCCACTAAATTCCATATTGGAACTGAAGTTCAAAGTATTTGTTAACAATATTTATCCCCATCTCCCCCCACCCACCCCCCCCCCCTCAAATTTTAATAAAATCTAACTATGCCATTAAATCTAATTAATTTTTCATTAGATACATATGACCACTTATTAATTATGTACTTCCTCACCTTCCTATATGACCACTTATTAATTATGCACTTCCTCACCTTCCTAAATAATTATAATTATCAATAATATTATAACTATTAATTATTTAATAATTGTTGTAATCTTGTTGTTGTATCTACATACATCACATATCAAAAATAAGAATCGAACATGAAATGTAAAAGTAAATAAACAAGAAAAAGAAATAGGGAGAAAGTAATCATCTCATTTTATTCATCTTCATTTCTCCTCAATACATTTTGTCTTCCATGGATTACATTATATAGATGTGGAAGAGAATACTAAAAGTCACAAGTAGGTGAAGAGACTTCTTCTAGTAATGTCCACATTCATTGTATTTATATTTACAACACTCCCCCTTGGACATTACTATCTGATGTCAATGCCTCGTTAAAAACCTCGCTAGAAAAACCCAGTGGGATAAAAACTAGTCGAGAAAAAGAGTACACGACATTAGTAGATTCTTGTTGCATTAGTTGCCTCATTAAAAACCTTTAATTAAGAAAACCCTGTGGGACAAAACTTAGCAAAGGGAAAAAGAGTACAACTATAGATCTTCGGGATCCAAACTTGTGTTGCATTAGTTGCCTCGTTAAAAACATTTAGCTAAGAAAACCTCGTGGGACAAAACTTAGCAAAAGGAAAAAAGAGTACAACTATAGTCCTTCAAGGCACAATCTTCAGGATTGCGTTGAAAATTCGCTCCCCCTGATGATGACAATCTTCTGAGTCTATGCTAAGAAAAACCCAGTGTATCATCTTTCGCTAGACCACACGAGTCACAAATATGTCGTATCAAAGATCTTAATCATACACATTCTCATGAGGTCTCATATAAAGTGATAATCTCTGAGTGGTTAGAAGAAGTAGTCACCATGGTCTGCTTAACAGACCTTTAAGAAACGACAGTACCACCACAGAGAAAAACATAACCAGTCTGAGATCTGGCGTTATGGGGATCAGACATGTAGCCAGCGTCCTAATAGCCCACCAATGTCATATCTTGGTTTCTTTTATAGAATAGTCCAAGATCTTTTGTACCTTGAAGATAGCGAAGGAAATGTTTAACGACATTCCATTGCCTCCTTGTAGGATAAGCACTATACCTTGCTAGCAAATTCACCGCAAATGCAATATAAGGCCAGGTGCAATTTGCGAGATAAAGAAGTGCTCTAATGGTGCTCAGATAGGAAACTTTTGGCCCTAACATTTCTTCATTATCTTCTTTGGGTCTAAATGGGTCTTAATCCACTTCGAGGGACCGAACGACCATTGATGTGCTAAGTGGATGAAATTTATCCATATAAAATCTTTTCAAAGCCTTTTTCACATAGGTTGACTGGTGTAGAAAAATTCCTTCTGGGAAAATACTCGATCTGCAGGCCGAGACAAAACTTAGTTTTTCCCAAGTCCTTCATTTCAAACTCCGTCTTTAGGCATGAGTTAGCTTCTGTAAGCTCCTTGTGCGTTACAATAACATTTATATTATTAATATAGACTGATATAATACAGAAGTCATTTTCGAATTTCTTTATAAACACACAAGGGCATACATCATTATTTGTATATCTCCTCTTCAGGAGGAACTTACTCAGTCGGTTATACTACGTTCTACCCGACTGTTTCAAGTCGTATAACGACCTTTATAATTTAATGTTATACATGTTGCGATTCTTGTTTTCTCTTAATTCAGGAATTTTAAGTCCATCAGGGACTTTCATATAAAAGACTCATATAAAAATATGGTCATGATGTACATATACTGCATATATAAATTCATAGTTTCTGCCATATTAACTTACGGAACGTAATATAATCACTAATAGGAGAATATTTTACATCTAAATCGATGTCGGGTCTCTACGTGAACCCATTTAGCTATGAATCTCGCTTTATATCTCACCACCTTACAATTCTCATTTATTTTTCTTACGAAGACCCATATATATATCCTGCAGGGATATATAAACTACAGGTTTAAAATACTTTAGTGAGTCCAGCTCAGCCTCAATTGCCACTTTCCATCTCGCCTAGTCCGAATGCTTCAAGCACTCTATTACCGACTTAGGTTCTGGATCCAGATTATTTTTGGAGATAGTAAGAGCAACTGTAGAGGCAACTATGTTGTCGACAACTTTTATATTTCTATTATATATTTCTCCTTTTTCACAAATTCGTGGCCACTTCAAAGCTTATTTTATGTCAACCAAATCCTCGTCATTTCCCTTAACAATTGGATTTGGCCGTTCCGCATCTCCAGTATTGTGATTATCAAGTGCACGTGCAATTTACTGGAGATTCCATCTTCAGGATGAACCTCTTTCGGAGGTTATGGGAGTGACTGTCTTTCTATATAGAATTTAGTTTGCCGCGGACTTTTATCTTTTTCATATGCTTCTAGCACAGTATGCTTCTGGCATTCCAAATCATCATACTCAACATAAATATGGGGCTTAGTCACTCTTTTTTTGGCAGATTATCATGTGAACTTCTGGTTCAGTTTGACTAGTACGTGGATATAAATATTGAAGATCTTTTTCACCAATGAAATTTCTTGACATTATTTTGTATTTTGGGCACTAATCTCCCCCTAATGTTGAGAATTGATCTTTAATAAAAATACAGTCAGCGTACCAAATTATAAATTGATCCCCTAACATGGGCTATAGGTACTAAATTATTGACAGAGTTTCATTAATAATGTATGTACCTTCACCGAGGTCCCATAGAGGTACATTATGGTGGTGATATAGAAACATGGACTGCAAATAAAGAATACGCAGATGGGAAATGTTTTGCTTCTTTACCACGTATTAGATAAAGGGGAAAAATTGTGATATGCAGTTGGTCGGATTTGGTTTGAATGCCTCATTTAATTTAAGAAAATCCGACGAATCATATTTTGCCCAAGATGACCCAATCGCTCATACTAGAGTTTAAAAGAATTTGGGTCCCTAAATCTCAAACTTATCGCAACATGGTGTATTTTAGGTCAGACAAATTCTAAAATATACACATATGAATAAAAAACACATAAGTTCACTGATGCGGCATAATTATGTACCAAAATTACAAGTGCATAATTTATCAAGTTATAGTATAAAAAATATCGATCCCACGAGAAAGGTGATTTTAAGAGATTATTAGAAATGGTTCTTATATTTTGTGCGTGACAATTAGGAATAAAGAATAAGTGTGATTTTGTTGAGTGATTGTTATGAATATATGCAAAAGATAATAAATTGAATTTTAGAGGAGAGAAGGAAGAATTAAAGAATAAATGAAATCATAAGGCAAGAAATATGAATTAATAAAATCAAGAAATAAAACCAAAAATGAAAAGAAAATTTAAGAAAGTTAAGATGAAGGATTCAAAAGAGGTAAGAAATCTAGAATATAATCCACTAACCAATTTCAATTACAAAATATAAACTATTCTCTTTTTATCATATTTCAACTTAGATTTATTAAGCATAGATTATCAAACCATTTAAGGAAAGTGTAACCTATCAAATTATCATCTAAGCTAAAATTACTATTCATGATAAGAACAACAACATGATAATAATCCTAGAATTCATAAGCATAACCTATCAAACCATTTAAGATAAGCATAGATTATCAAATTCTTCTTCTACCGATTAGTTCTCTAGTTGATTATCCTAAACATGAATATTTTAAGTGCAAGAGAATAATTCATACAATATAAAGGAAATTAGACTAGTTTCATATAATTCTAAACTTCCTACAAGAATTAAATTCATATCTTTAAGAAATAAAAACAATAAAAAGAACTAATTACAAAAATAAAAAAAAAAGAAAAATCTAAACTATGAACAAGAAATAAATCTAACTACAAAGAAAATAAAAATCTACACTACAAAATATATTACAAAAATTAAATGTGAGAAAATAAATCTATTCTACAAATTAAAGTGCAAAAGGAAATAAAAAGACAAGAAAATAAATCTACACTACAAACATGGATTTAAATCTAACTAATAAGCAATAATAA